TGACCACAAGTAGACACTTACGACGTGCAACAGAAGTCAAGATTGGCGCCGATGATGGGATTCAGCAAGATGCTACATCAAGCAAATCTACAATACACCTCTCGTTGGGCCTTCGTTGCGGGCCAGGACTTCGCAAGAAGACCGGAGCCGCGCAAGCAAGCCTCTATCGCAGATTTGGAGTCCGTGACTTTTCTCGGCCAACGGGATGAAAATGTGAGAGTACAAAATCCAGAAACACATACTGTCCGCTCTGCCAAATTTGAAATCTTGATTGATTGACAGCAAGGAAAGACCTCATTGTCAACAGTAGAGTTAGAAACTTGTCAGAACGCAACAGAAAGTGCAAATTGTCGATTTCAGACAACGAGTAGAGCTTCTCGAACCACTGATTAATCTCGTAGCTAGATTATCCACAATACCCATCGGTCCATCGGAAGCACGTTCCCTCTTCGAACATATGCAACAATAACTTTAAAGTGGAATATTTCTCTAGGCACATGCACCACATGGATGCATGCCGGAGTTCAGCTTACCAACGTGCTGTTCGACCCGGTTCAAACAACCGTCACTGAAAATCTTGAGTTTCTGAAAATCGCGCTTCATTCTAACTACAATTTACTTTGGTTTCAAGAACTCATATGCAATCAAAGTATGGATCTGAGCAACTTTGACAAGCTCATCAGCCATGACATATTCATCTGCAGCTCCCATACCGTACCCAGTGCATCCTACGACGACAGTCGGGATGCCAGCCATACGGTATAGCCTTGAATCTGATGCACCAACTCGCATATTAACGACGGAGCGTGTGCACCTATCCATGACTTGCTGAGATGCTGCTAAAGCTGATTGAACAAGGGGATGTGTTGGAGAGGTGTAAGTCGGCTCATGGCTCCTGATCATCCGCCAACTCACACCGGCCATAGCATCAAGACTCGTGTGAAGATGCTCCTCGACTCTTGCAACCGGAATACCTACTGGCAGTCGTATGTCGCCTTCGGCAGATGCTTCACTAGGCATGAGGTTGCGCAGCGTACCGCCACTGATAGTTCCAATGTTGACAGTGACACGCTGAAGAGTTTGAGACTCACCTTCCCCAGCTGCAGCTTCTGATACATGACTTGCTGCCGCAATGGATTTGCTGACCTCGGGAGGTGCTTCCACAAGCAAGTTTTCAAGCCGCTCTACAGCATCCAAGGCCTTACGCAGACGGTCAATGGCGTTGATGCCTTTATGAACATGTGCGCCATGAGCGGAAACTCCTCTGGCTGTAATCTCAAACCAGCAGAACCCCTTCTCCCCAAATCTGACAACATTGGGCGAACCAACATCACCACAAACCATAGCATCACCCCCCGCAGCTCCGACATTATCCAGCAGCCATTGGGTGCCTAGCGAACCCATACTCTCCTCATCTCCAGCGAGCGTGATAACTATCTCGCCCGACCACAAGTGTTTCTGCTCCGCCAGTATAGTCGCAGCCATGATCGATGCCGCAATCCCGCCTTTCATGTCTGACACCCCTCGGCCATACACTCGACCACCTTTCAATATGCCACCCAGAGGCGGGACTGTCCAATTGAGGTGTTCGCAGACCGGGTAGGTGTCCAAGTGTCCATTGAAGACAAGTCTTGGGCCTGGACGACCGCTTGAAATCCTAGCGACTATATTGACAATACCCGGCGCCGTCTCATGCCGTGTGATCTCCGCTCCAGGAATCTTCCCTAGAAGATCTGCGGCAGTTTCCGCCACGAGTGTTGTGTCGCCTGGTGGATTTGGGGACGCCGCAGCCACGAGATGTTGGGTGGCTGAGATGATGTCCTGCTCTCGAAGGGAGACTTGACTCTTCAGTAGCGACTGACATGAATCTGCCATTCTGTCGGTTTTTTGACAAGTCAAGAAATCCGGAAAACAATTCGTTATCGGTGCTGCATTCTGCTCTCGCCTTGGTTCGAGGAAGCCCTTCAGCAAGCTAGCAACTCCGAAGCAGAATTGGCCGACAAATCAACCTGCGCCCGTCGCCGTCTTCTCCCGAGAATGTATGTCGACCATGTCAGAAAGGATTGTAGCTCCGCGAGATCCTTTTAAATATGTTCGAGGTCGTCAATTCCTACTGCATACGTTTGGAAGAGGGGTTGAGCTGTGCTTACTACAGGGCCTTTTAATTGCTAAGCGAGAGAAAATACGTCCAAATTCTGTCGAAATTCCGAGTGGTCTGCCCAATCACCTGTCCAGATCTTCTTTTTTTGGTCTGTAATTGGCCTGTACGTAGTATATCTCGTCTCCACACTAAGACCCCTGCTAGCGGATTCTTCAACGTCCTCCCACTTCTGAGACTGTTCCATACATACTTTTTCGCTAAAGCTCTATTCCGAAGTCACAAAGCCAGTAAGAGATATGTCATCTCTTCCATTCTCTTCAAGTTCATTTATCTTCCTTTTCTTTCGACGGTCTCCAAGTGTTGAAATTGGTTGCACGGGGGAGTGTTGACATAAAATGCCAATTTTCCAGCTAAAGGGGCCATGATTACATGAAATTTCTATCAGAAGTGGGATAGCCAGAATAAGAGCCAATGGGTGAATATATTCTTATCTTCTGTTATTTAGATGTGCCTGTTATGCTATCTCGGCCCCATTTGCATTTTCAAGTTCTCTTCCACTTCCGAAGTTGGCGCAACCTGCTGCGCTTCTGGACCTCTACCTAGCTGTGGCACTCCGGAATTGATGATTAGATGCAGGATCAACAGTACAGTTTCACAAAGAAACGAATACATCCAAGGTGGGGTGACCTAGTCCAAGCGGACTGTGTACCATGAGTTGAATGGGCCTAGCTCCCGCAGAGTTGATATCATTCCCTTAGAGTGTATTCTGCCACACAATCGTCATCCATTGCTCCTTCAGTTCCATTAACTGCAGATCTTCCAGATTGTCATCACCTCAATCGTCATGGAATCTCGCAGAGAGCTCCAAATGCCTCGTCGACAGAGCGCGAAAAGGCGTCCCCAGAAAGACCTACAGCCTCCCGAATCTAATCAAGATCGTGAAGCAAGATCTACGAATATCGACCAGTCACATGCTCTCAAACGCAAGCTCATAGCTCAGCATCTCTCCATAATAGCACTCGGAGGTGCCTTGGGGACTGGTCTCATTATTGACACTGGCCCAGCACTGGCACGGGGCAGTCCTGCTGCAATTCTGATAGCTTATGACTTCTTGGGTTTGTCGTATACTTGGTGTTACTGTAGGTGCTCTTGGAGAAATTGCAGCGTAGCTGCCAATGTCTAGCGGGTTTGCTGGGTATGCTTCGAGATACGTCGATCCTGCAATGGGCTTCGCACTTGGCTATTGGTGAGCCTTCCCAATGTCTCCAAGAAGCAGTCTCGCAAGCTTGCCAACGAATATTGACCCTGTAATGTCAATTATTGGTTCAAATATCTCATTCTTCCTCCGACTCAACTGACTACAGCTTCTCTGGTTTTACAATACTGGGTTCCTCGGGCGCAAGTCAATCCCGGCGTCTGGATTGCTATATTTCTTGTCGTCATTGTCCTATTCAACTTCTTTGGCGTGAAATTCTTCGGCGAATTGGAATTTTACCTCAGTGCTCTGAAGATTGTTATTGTCGTCGGACCCCTCGTTTTGTCTGTCGTCGTTGTCTCTGGAGGAGGCTAAATCACGAGGCCATAGGCTTCCGATATTGGTCAAATCGTGACGCCTTCAGCCACTTCATCCAAGGTAAACTCTACCTTACTCCGAAACGTACTTGAGTCCTTGAATTAATACGTATAACCAGAAGGTACCATGGGTCAGTTCTTTGCGTCAATTGCGGTCCTAATTTCGGCGGCATATGCCTGCTTGGGCACCGAACTTATTGCCATAACCTTTGGTGAAACCGAGAACCCACGACGCAATATTCCTTGTGCAATCCGACTCACTTTCTATCGAATTACCGTTTTTGGTTTTCTGGCATTTTTGAATGTCTCAACAGGTTCTGCTGAAGTCTTTCAATATTTTGTTAACGTGGTCACGATTTTTGAGATCCTGACTTGGATGTCCCTCCTTATAACACACATCTGCTTTGTCCGTACTCGAAAAGTTCACCTCATATCCAACTCAATGATGGTGTACACCGCACCCTTCGGTCTATGGGGAACATATTTCGCTCTCGTCGTTTGCACCATCATCGCACTCTTCAAGAACTTCCACGTTTTCGTCAAGGGTAGTGTGACAGGTAGCGACTATGGAGATTTTGATTATAAGAGTTTCATTACTGGATATCCTGGTATTCCGGTTTACGCAATTCTATTTGTGGGATTTAAGGATTTTAATAAGACGGAGTTTAGAAGGCCGGAGACAACGGATTTGTATGCGAGGAAGCAGGAGATTGATGATGAGGAAGCTGAGTTCCTTGAGCGGCGCACTTGCTTCATGGGCCTGGTGGGCCAAAGGGGTGGTATAGGTTTATTCCTTGGCTGTTTTGAGCGAGATTGGATGGTGTGATCGGGGTAGGATATTTGATGTACAACCTTCGAGTCATACTTTGGATTGAGAAGAAGTGAAAGGGATTATAAGTGCGAAGACAAATGTGAAAGCCAAGCGAGGTTGATAGGTAGGAGGTCATCAACTCATCTTCGCTTGCAAATTGCAGCTAAAAAAGGAGAGAGGTCAAAAGAATAATTTATAGGCGGTTGGATTTGAACCATCGGCTCACGAGTAGAAACCGGAAGATGCTGCACCCTCCTCTGGGGTGATCTAATACTAGCCTCGGGGAGCTATCTAACACAGGATTTCTCGTACGCTTTGAGACCACTAAGCTATCTATATAGCACTCATGTACTTTATTTCAAGCCGAAGTGATTGCCAAATACCGCTCTGGCCTCGCTTCACGCAAAAAGGGGGAAGCAGCCGAGTCGACTGTTCAAGAACCTCCTTCACTTCACCAAAACACGAAACCGCCATCAAACCCCAAAAAAGCTTCTTCACAAGAAAAAAAGCAAGCTTTGGAGGCGGTTGGAATCGAACCAACGATCTTACGAGTCAATCTGTAGGCGCCTAAGCACTCGCTCTCCCATCCGCTAGTATAATCCAATACAGGCCAAGGGAGTCAGAAGTTTCTCATGTGTGTTAACCTTTACACCACACCTCCTTGTACATTAACGGTAAAAAGCACATACTTAAATCTATACAATGCACACAGAAGGGGAGTGAAACTTGCACCCGCGTCAAAGATCAACGCTCACTGCAGCAAAAAAAAGGGGAAGGAGAGACCTGCCGTCAACCGAGCATCATTGTTTAACGTTTGTAGGTATTGTTTAGCTTCTAAAAATTCAAAATTAACAATAGATCAAAGAATTCTGAACGGGAACATGACTCTTAAGATTGTGTGAAGTTAACAGAGTTGAAGGGAACCCTCACTTACACTAGCAAAAGGGGCTTGGTTTCCGTTTGCTCTCCCTCACCAACTTCAAACCCCCAAAAAGTAAACCAACGATGGAGGCGGAAGGAATCGAACCTCCGATCCCACAATTTGAAGCTTAGGTTCCCCCAACAAACAACTCCATCACCAGGAAGGGGTTTGGCCTTTGAGCGGTGGTTTTGTGTAGGTTTTCTATATATTTTTTTGGTTGCCCCGTGGCCTCAGGGATAGTCGGTGGTTCCTTGCTCTTTCTTCCGACAAGAGGATTGTCAATTTGACAGAGAAAAGAAGGGAGACCGACTATAGATGCCTGGTGATGGAGATGCTTGCTGACCAAGTACTTCTTGTGTGCTCCGACCATTGAGCCACACCTCTTGATTAATGTTGATTTTTGTTTGGTGGAGGGAACGTGCTTATTGAAAACTATAGAGATAGATTTGGGAGGATGCTAGAAGAGAGGATGGGTATATCTCGGACGAGGAATGGCAGAATGCGTGCAAACGGAGCTGCATGACTTGGAAGCAAACGAGGGATGCACAGAAGTGGCATGACGGAAGCCCCCACATCGTCAGTAAAGCAGCGGTAACAGCAAAGCAGAGTAGCAAGCAAGAAGAGAGCGAAAACTCGTTAAAGCTCATCAGTACCCGAGAAGTTGAACGAAAATCATAAGTAGTTTATGTAGATTGTGTAGGCACCTAGGTATATCAGAGAACGCCTCAACTATGCATCATTCCTCTGTTCCAGGACCCAGTCCGCAGACCGAGCTCGTCATCTAGGTATAATACCCCCAAAAAGTCACCATTTGAGAGACCGAAATGCACGCAGGTACAGTAATTGAAGGCTTCCCATGCCACACCTTCATACGCTGAAAGTAGAATCGGAAATCGACCCACGCCATGCTTCATGAAAAGAAATCCTTATGCTGGCCCAAACTCCATCCATATGTGCCGTATCCCATATGCGAGCCTCTATGCGCAACTCCATTTGCCCATTCCCGTTCCCATAGTAAAAACATACAAAAGAAAATTTCTACTTAAACAAGCTCCTCAGATCTTCGAGACGTTTTCTCGCCGCCTCGGCTTTGTCGATTCGGCCACGACCTTCACTATCCATACTCAGTTGTGCAAGTTTCTTCTTTTTCTCTTGCAGCTCCAGCATCTTCTCTTCGAAACTGTCGTTCATAATGTATCGCACTGTCTCGACTTCTCGCTTCTGACCAAGTCGATGGACACGGTCGACGGCTTGGGCTTCTGCAGCGGGATTGTATTGAGGCTCCATGACGTAGACTTTGTTGGCAGTCGTAAGATTGAGACCGAGACCACCTGCTGTGATGGAGACGAGGATGACAAGGATAGTTGGATCGTCTCGGAAGTTCTCCATTGCTTGGCCACGAGCAGTACGGGACATCTTGCCATCGAGTCGACAGTAGTTGATGCCGTTTTCTTGGAGAGCAAACTGGATGAGATCCAAGTGTGCGGTCCAACCCGAGAAGACGACGCTCTTGATCGGGGCCTCATCCAGCATGAGCTCAGATTCTTGTTTCGATGCAAGCAAGTCTGCAATCAATGCCTTCGTCTTGGTGTGGGGGCCACCGTAACCTTCAATCTCCTTGCCGTGGTTGGCATTATCCCTGGTCTTCGTTCGGCATTCTTCCTGATCCTCAACACCTCCTTGTTTGAGAGGGAAGTAGGAGAGCTTGATGACTTGCTGGCAGATGGGACAACTGATCATTGATTCACCTCGAGCGATGCCCTCCATATCAGCCTTGTATCTGTCAAAGCAGGCATTGCAGATGATATGAAAGCATGGGGTCATATGGCCGATGATTTCGTCTTTAGGCTCTCCATCCGAGTCAACTGCTTCTCCTGGGCCAATCTTCCGGACACAGGTTAGACAGTTATCCGCGTTTGTCTCCTTCATCAGATTGTACATGTCGTAAGCTTGCTTCGCAGACAGAGCTGGTCGGTCATCTTCATCATCGCTGTCCAAATCAATGGCCGAATCCTTGCTAAGACCACTCATCACTTTCAGGTCTTCCTCGCTGAGAAGATCTCTACCATGAGCACAGATGAGTCGCAAGCGGAGGATTGATTGCAGGATGTGGACGTATGACTTTCCGGTCAAGCTCTTCTCCCTCGCACCAACGATAACTTTGACTCGGTCATTAGCATTCTTAGCAAAGATCTCGTAAATCGCTCGCTCTTCAACGCTGAAGTCGAGCTTGACAAGGTGATCTCGGCGTGCAGGAAGATCGATTCTGTCCTTGAGGCGTCGGAGAGTGATGCTATCAACTAGTAGTCGAAGCTTGGGCAAGATCTCAGGGTCACACATCTTGAACGGAGCCATGATATATTGAGCAAAACCGCCTTTCTCGTCAAAAGGCTTGATGCGTAAGAATGTCATCAAAGCACCCAAATCCTCCAAGCGATTTTGAACTGGAGTTCCGGTGACAGCCCATCTGCGGTTGGCAGCTAATCTGCATATAGCCTTCGACTGCTGCGTAGACTGCTCTCGAATCATATGAGCTTCATCCAGGACAATTCTGAACCAGTTGATCTCTTCCAGCGGGTAGGTGCCATGTTTCTTCTTGCTTCGATGATTGAATTCGCTAGCAACAGAGCCGTAAGTAGTGATCACAAGGTCGAAGTCAGCGAGCTTGTTGATATCCTTGATTCTGTTCGGGCCATGGTAGACATAGTACTTGAGAGTACCAGGCTTGATGTGTTGCTTGATTTGCTCCTCCCAATTGGCAATAGTACTGAGAGGTGAAACAAGTAGAGTGGTCTTAGCATTAAGTTTGAGAGGGGTCTGCTCGAGCTTTGGCAAAGCTGTCTTGCCCTTGCGTACAGGACAAAGATCTCGGTCATCCTTCGATGCACAGGGAGCCTGCTGTGACCACTCGATGGACTTGTTGTCAAGGGTAGTCATAACGAGAGATAAGATGCTCAAAGTCTTGCCGAGACCCATCATATCGGCCAGAATACCACCAAGAACTTGAGGCGGACTTTTTCGTTCTTCTTGCCCAGTGATGACATTAAGATAGGTTCTTTCGCCACTGGCAGATATGTTCAGTCGCCATAAAGAGCTATTGGACTTATCTTCCCTGCCAAAGGTGCGTTCCTTCTCTTTGTTAGTCATGAAGTACAGACCTTGCTTTTGATGTTTTAGAAGCTCAGTCGTGATGCGAGGATCTGCCTCCAGCTCCTGGAGGTTCTCGGAGCGTTCCAAGTTGTCAAACATTGACACAATATCATTCCTAATCTCCTCAGTGGTTCGCTGCGGTCCTTGCGGTCGGGCACCATAAGAGTACGCATTGGAAGGTCGAGCTTGGGGTTGAGGAGGCTTTTGGATAACATGTGGATTATGTAGCTCGACTCCAGCCTCGACAAAGAAAGGCGTTCGAAGGAAGAGTCCCTTTTGAGATAAGAAGCGTCCAATCTGTAGAGCATGCTTCCTTGGCCCATAAATGTTCAGATCAAGGTTGTATCGAACCGACACTGCACTACCAGGGGGCAGATCACCCTCTTTCTTTGGCCGAGCAAGAATCCTGGATGCTGTTCGAATTCCAAACTTGGAATCGAGCACAGGTGTCAAGCCGATAGCTGTGTTGACATCCACGTTGCCGATAATCTCACGTGTGTAGTCTACTGCGTGGATAACGTTGGTCTTATCGTTGTACCGTCTTCGCAGGACGATCTTGACCTGGGGCCAGAAGCCTTGGGATACAGCCACAGTTCCTGGCTTCGCGGCGGGGACCTTGAAGGCGAGAATCTCGGATCCTTCGATGCGGCCGTAGCAGACCTCTCTGTCTTCAGAGCTCTCCAGTACCTGGATATCATCATCGTCGTCGTCGTCGTCGATGATGGTCGATGTATCCACAGGCGCTGTGCCTCTCGATTCTGCTTGCTTCCGACCTTCCTCCCTCTGTTCCCTCATATATTGGCCTATGACGCCACCCTTTCCACCACCGCTGAATTCGCCCTTTCCGTGCTGCCCCCGCTCGTCAACAATCTTCCTTCGCTTCTGAGGTATCATGTCTCGGTCCACCACATTGTTTATGCGCTCCAGCATATGACCCATGCCTATATGTCCGTTGCCATTCGTATACGAAGCAAACCCATTCCTGTTCGTACAGTTTGGTTTCATGCTGTCATGACTAGGAGAGGGCGAGGGATGGCTATGGTAGCTCGAATGTGGCGAGCCTCCCGGGCTATCGAACTGGAAGGTGAGGTTGGTATTGGTTGAGGCATTACTCGAGAAGCCATTCGGTGTACTGGTATGCGACGGAGTAGGATTGTAGCCTCGGGGATTCAATAAGGCAGACGGGTTCCATTGCTGCTGCGGGAAAGCGGGGCTACCGTTCGCAGTCGTGGGGATATTGTTAGGGAGTCGACCTGTAGCAAGAATATGCGCATGAGCGTCATATTGGTGTGAAGGTATTGCTAGGGGCGAAGGGGAGTAGATGTGATTGTGGTTGTGGTTGTGGAGGCGAGGCTCTGGACTTCCAGGTCCTGCATGGAACTGCGATGGCGAGGCGTTTGATGCTGGGTAGTATGGAGATGTACCGTTTGACTGATTCCAGGAAGACATTGCTTCGCGATCCTCCGTGATCCACCCACGTTACGGTCGCATGCAGATGTGCTGTTGTGCTTGCGCCGTTCGTACTCAAGTAGCCATCCAGACCTAGGAAATGGGTGAGGGGCGGTTATGTCGAGGATACATCAAGACTT